CTGTAACTTTGCTAAAATCAGGAAAGGATTAACCGAGAATGTTAAAAAAGACTCATGGAGCTTTTATTGTTATATTATTTTGTATATTCTTTGTTGGACTTAGCATCTCTTTCTGGGATTCAATAAACACTTAACCTATTCTGCACATTCTTTTCCCATTGCATATAGCTATATATTATATACCCAACACCTTTCGTCATTGCTGATAAATTGGGTAAACATCTACAGGAGTTCCCACAACACATCGTTTTACCTTTAACGGGACTGACCATGTCATCATAGCAGGCAAACCCTTTAATTTTACCACACAGTCATAAAAAGTGACTGGAAAAAAGCTGTGTCAGTGTCTACAAAACAGAAGCAAGAAGGGAACTGCAATGAAATTTTCTAAAATCATAACAACTGGCTCAGTGAAATCGATTTTGTCTAGGCAAAAGTGAATTTTTACTTTAGGCCTAAATAAATTTCACCTTTTAAGTTGCATTAGTGAAATAAATGAACTTTTGCACGATATTCTAATCGAGTTTCACCTGTATGCTTTCTTGTCCTTTGTGATACAGCCACCTAACCAAAACTAAAAAATGACAACTCTGTAACACTGGAAATGTCTTATGAAGATTGTGTCTGATTTAATGTGTTACCTGGAGTGACCAGTGAAATGCTTTTTCCTATTTCCAGTGCTACTCTTGAGTATGAGATAATCTGTTCTATTTATAAACACTTGTAGAAACACTTAAAAATGAATGGTTTGGCTGCACCTGCTTTAAAAAATGCATTTGAGATGTGCATTGTGCTTTTATGGCTTTCAGAAGCCAGTGGAGTAATGGGAGAGCCTGGAACCATGACAAGATCTCTTCCAATCATGGATTTCTCTCTCCTGTGTTAAGGGGTATAACGGATATCTGCTCTCCATTATAAATTGGTCCCTAAGGTTTATCATACGCTATACAATCAGATACAATCTAATCTCCATTAGATTTACCAATACTATGCAGTATGAGGAAAATCATAAATATTAGATTTAATTTGCATTAAATCAGACAGGCCCTTGTTCTACATAGTTGATGGTAGATTTAAAGTAGATTCTACAATCAAATTGTGTAGTAGATGGTCAGCTTTAGAGTCAGACAATGGGTTATGTTTGTACTATCGACTCTTCCTTCATTGCAGAGGAACAACAGTCAATGCATTTCTTAATGCACTTCATATTTAAAGTGGTGGTGCAGCTTTCTGCAACAGCCACGATAAAGGTACAACAGGGGATAGAGGTAGCAGGAAAGGCTGATGCTTTGTGTGAATAAGACTTCAGGATATATCATGTGTGTTGGGGAGTCTACCTTCATAAACTACCTGTGAAATGATGCTCACATAAATTCCAGTTCCTAAGACACTTCCTTCATAGATATGGAAGCAACAGTAATGTGTATTGAATACAAACATTTACATAATATGAAAAAAAACGAGGACAGCAAAGAAAAGAAATGCTTATTCATCATATTTAAGATCTCATGGAAAGACTTAATCTTTGCTGATTTTGACCTGGGTATCTTTCAAATTTAGATAATCTTTCTGCACTTCCAATGGACAGAGCTCTGCCAATTTGGTTGAGGTTTCAACCTCCAGGGCCTCCATGTTGTGTCTGTTTGCGTTCTGTGTTGGTTTAGTGCTACTCTCCTTCTGGTCTGTATGCCTTTTATTTGTTTTTTCAACAAGAGAATGGTGACATCGTCTATTATCCTGCTTTATAGTAGTTTCTGAGGTGTACAGACCACTCTCACTCTTGCTTATGATTTTAGATAGTGGTCGAGTATCTTCACTTGTCCAGCTGCACAAGGAATCTTCTTTACTTTGTGATTTGTACAATTGACACCTAGATGGGTTTGATGGCCCCAATGTTGTCTCTTCTGACCCTTTAGCAGGCTCCCAGCTGTGGCTCTGAGACTGACTTATGGTGGCTGGAGTTCCTTCAGAGTCTAAACTCTCCCAAGGACAGATATCGCCTCTTCGAGATTCCAGATCCAAACTGTCTGAGGTTTTAGACTGAATGGGGCATGTGTCAAATATCTTGCTCTGTGACTGGCTAAGAATGCCAGGGGAACCTCCAGACTCCTCGCTCTCCCATGGGCACATTGTGTCTCTCTGTCTGCCTAGTACTTCAAGCTTCATAGCTAGGTTACAACCACTTAGGCATCCCATTTCCATTTCTTCCACTTCACCTATTTCCCATGGACAAATCTCTTTTCTTTTTTCCTCATCTCCCCATACATTATCATTTTGACTCTTCTTTCCATTTGCTGAAGGACTTTGAAAGGATAGGTAACTCCCTGACAGACTTAGGGGACCACCTGGTCCTTCACTGTCTGTGCTTTCCCATGGGCACATTTCACTTCTGCTCTCCATGCTGTTTGACTTGTAGGGAACATTTATGATACCCTCCATGCTCTCCCAAGGGCATACTGCCTCCCTCAGCTCACTCATTTTCTCTAGTCTGATTGGGGAAGTGTGCTTGGAAGTTTTGAGAGTATACCGTTTCTCTTCATTATCATTTTTGGTGAATGTGTGCTGTTCTATCTGTGGAGATGTACAAACTGGTCCAGTACTATCTGTTAAATTCAGTGCAGTTGGCCTTTTTTTCTTGTCCTCAATCAAATTAGTTTCCACCTCCCAAGGACCAACCTTTCCAAGTAGCTGTTTTTTGACATCCTTGGTTTCCTCCACAGTATATATTTTTTCCTTGGTCTCTTTCCCCCCAGTTGCTCCTTTAAATGCTCGAACTGCTAGTACCAAGCTAATGAGTGTACTTTTATATGGTGGCCTTGTGGACTCCGGTTTCCTTGGTTGTGCAGATCTCTGGTGTACTTCATTCGGCTCATCCCCACTGCCCACGCTGTGTTGCTTCATTCCCATATCACCTTTATTTTCACATGAATCATGTTGCTTTCCTGATGCATGAGAACTGTCTAAACTACTACATTTTCCAGGTGCATAACTAACGTGTTTTTGAGACCAGTTTTCAGATGGCAATGGGAGGTCTTGCACTTCCCAAGGACATACTTCTGCTTTGTCAAAACTTCCCCCTAATAAAGGGTTACGACTCCCCTCCTGTGTCTTCTCTGTGGGTGTGTCTGTTAGTGAGCTCTTTCCTCTTGAGTTTCCCATCAGGCTCTGTGACTTCTGTAGAGTTCCACCAGGCACAGCTAATGGCTTTTTATCTGCTAACAGGTTATGGGCACTAAGAGATTTACAGACCAGTGTGGCCTGATGGAGAGAATCTCCACAAGAGCGTAGAGACACATTCCTGGCAAGATTTCGTCTCATTAGAGAGTCACGCAAGGATTCATCTCGGGATGAGCTCTCCAGACGTGGGGACATAACTCCAGTATCTTTGGATTCTTGCAGGTGGTCATAAGTGCTATGTGACTTGCGTAAAGAAAGAACTCTCTGTCTCAAAGACTCCTCATGTAGTTTCATGCTTCCACTGTCCTGCTGCCTTCGATTTTGCCCACTAGCTGAGCCTGGTGATCCCTCATGCTCTTCAAATCCCCATTGTTTTGAATCTGGGATCTCTGTGATTCTCCTAATAATAGAACGTCCAAGTCCCCGACGTGAACTGCGCTTCTTTTGCAAGTGAGGATTGTTTAAGGTCATCTTCTTAGTTTTGTGGACTTCTAACTGTGCATACAGCTTCTTCAGCTCATCCTATAGACAGAAATGCACAAAATGTTTAAATAAATATATATATATAACGTGTGTGTACATACATATACAGTATATATAGAAAGAGAGGGAGAGAGAAAGCTGCAAACTGCAGCATTTGTTTACATTTTCTGACAGCTGTGATTGGCCACAGCGATCTAGTGGTAAAGAGCCAAATTAATTGGGTCTGTACCTTGATTTGTGGACTCCACTGTCCAACGGACAGTGAGTTCATAGAGAACAGTTTGTGTTGTGCACTAGGGGGCACGTACAAGCAGAGGGGAAAAAAATTGCCAAACAGGTACGGCAACCCGCACTGAAAAGCTAACCTTCTGTCCATTTGTACATAATGGGTAGACAGCAAAACAGATCATACATGTACGATGCATGAGAAATGTATCTTTTAAGAGGGTGAGCTTGGGTGTGCCTACTGTTGGCAGAAACCAATTTAATCTGAGAATTTCCCTTTAAGCCATCTATAAATGGTCCTTATAGCAACACACAGGATACAGAAAATTTAATATTTATCCAAAAATATAATGTGAAAACATGAACGTTTATTAAAGGAAATCTGTCAAGTGTGAAACACAAAGGCTGCTACTGCTGATCTTTCTAAAAAATGCTAACTGTCTGGCTGCCAGGTACATCCTCGGTCTTCCATACTTTGTTTCCCAGAACCAATAGGGCTTGTTCACACCAAATCCGGACCAGATTTGCATGAGTTTCTGCATATGCTCGGCAGTGCATTTTCCCCCGCTGTTTTGCTGTGTTTTTGAGTTTGAGTTTTTGGTTAACGCTGGGATGCGTAGTCTCTGTCAGGAGAGGGCATGCTGGGATGTGTGGTTCATGCTAGGAGGTGTAGTCCCCGTCAGGAGAGGGCATGTTGGGGTGTGTGGTTCATGCTGGGATGTGTAGTCTATGTCAGGGGAGGGCATGCTGGGATGTGTGACCCATGCTGGAATGTGTAGTCCCTGTCAAGAGGGCATCTTGGGATGTGTGGTCATGTGAGGATGTGTAGTCCCTGTCTGGAGAGCTCCCTCCGCCCACTTCTGCTATTGGCTGGGAGGGAGACTGCACTCCTACTGACTGTCTGCCTGGGTCCTAAAGGGAGGACAGCAGGAAGTGGCAGCAATCACCTGAAAACGTGCAGGAAACCTTGCTGCACCCCCCCCCAACCCAACCGGCAGAGGAAAGAGGATGGCACAACACCTCAAACAGAGGAAAGGAGTCACTGTTCTTTCTGTGTGACCTCTGCACTGCGTTACTGACCGCTGCACTGCATTACATGCTGCCTGCGTTACTGACCGCTGCACTGCATTACATGCTGCCTGCGTTACTGACCGCTGCACTGCATTACATGCTGACTGCGTTACTGACCGCTGTACTGCATTACTTGCTGACCGCTGCACTGCATTATATGCTGGCATGCGTTGTTAGAAAAAAACTGCGTTAGGAATCAAATAACACTCTAAGAGCAGCTGTGCTTAATAGGTGAGTACACCCAAAATAGGAAAAAAGAAAATAGCACTGCGCTTCAAACTCAAAAATTATATTCCTAAAATGTGAAAAAAAATGTGTGAAATTGTCACACAGTGATAAACAATTTTGTGTTATACACAACACCTGTGTTGCACAATGCCTGTGCTGATGACTTACAATTAAAATAAGGCAATTGCACATGGATTGTGTCCACTGGAGCTCCTGTCTCTGATTGCAATGCTCGCATAGATCCGCCCACCTGATGTATTTCGTCACTATTGACTTCCTCTGAGGCTACGGTCTGCATACGAGCATTACAAACTCCTTTCCTTTTTTATATCACACATAATGGTAATCAAATTCCTGCCACTAGGTGTCACCCCATTCAGGCTGCATTCTAGTGTATAATCTCTTAAACCCGTTACAAACTGGACTCCATAATATATACATACAAATAAAATCTTAGAATACATAAAAACATTTAACATTGAGAGTCGAGGAGGATGCATACATGGGATATTCAATGGACACATAACGTAAATGTGAGGAATAGTGTTACACGATTTTGGAAAGATAAGCCAGAGTTGGGAGGAATCTACCCCCATTTATTGTCGGATTAAAAACAAAGGAGAGGATTTGGTTCTATATATATCCACAAAGCGCTAATTGTTCATCTGAAATATGGAGATCACTAGGAGTCGGCGAGTGCGGCCAGATCTCATCTTTGTTGTACAAATATTTTTATTTAGAAAGAACAGAATTACATTCCATTCAGTAGGAATAAGGACCAACAGGTTCATACAATAGAAAATTACCTTATAACATTACAACGGCATAATGGTGTGTTTTGGTAAGTCATCCAGTTAAGAGCCAATGAAAGACATCAATATAACATTAAGTAAAAGATAGAGAGAAAAAAAAAACTGATGAAAACAAAATCCCCCCTTCCAGAAGCCATGGTAAAGACAAAGGCACCAAAACGGTATGTGTATTGAGTCTGCGGGTGGGCTAGCATCTGGAAACCAAAGTGAGGGCGCCAGCTACCTGCTGCAGGACACCAGCGGAACCACACAAGTAGGGGAAGAAGAGCTAATGGCTATATGCCAAGCAATCAATCTATATCACGTGTTGAAGGCTCTAAAAAACACCAGAAGAACCTAGAGCTAGGTGGAGAAAACACCAGAAGAACCTAGTGGTAAGGCAGGGAAGGGGCCATGAAAAATTAAAGTTAGATTTTGCCAAACCCAGGCAACCGGTGCTCAGGGAAATGTTCAAGGCTTTTGATTTGGTCTCGTTAACCTGCAAGCAGGAGAATGCTTCAAATTCTGATAACGTACGAAATAGGTTGGGAAGAGAGACATGAGGGGAGGATAGAGCTAACAGAATGTCATCCGCATAAAGCGAGATTTTGTGAGGGGTACCCGCCAACTCTAATCCCTGAATGGAAGCATTGCCCCGAATGGCAGCTGCCAGCGGTTCTAGTGCCAATATAAAAAGGATGGGGGATAAAGGGCAGCCCTGTCTAGTGCCCCACAGTATGGGGAACGCGGCTGAGCTGAATCCCGCATAGCGGATGGAGGCTGTGGGTTGGGAGTACAACGCGGATATCAAAGCTAGAAAATCCTCTCCAAAACCCCATCTGCGTAACGCAAAAAACAGGTACTGCCAAGATAAGGTGTCAAACGCCTTGTGCACGTGAAGGGAAAGTAACATCATCTCTATGGAACGGGAACGAGCTAGGTGTATAAGTTTAAGAACCCGACGTACATTGTCTCCCACCTGCCTGCAGGGTACGAAACCGACCTGGTCTTTATGAATGAGATGCCCTAAGAAGGTGTTAATTCTAGAGGCCAACACTTCAGCCAGGAGTTTCACATCAGTGTTGAGTAATGAAATGGGCCTAAAGTTAGACCAAGAATGTGGGTCAGTAGTAGGTTTGGGGTATCATTACAATATTTGCTTTAAGGGCTTCAGGAGGAAACGGGTGACCCTGCTTAAGGAAATTAAATTGTGATGTCAGATGGGGGACTACGATGTCTGCAATTTTTTTATAAAAAAGGGACGAGTAACCATCGGATCCAGCACGCTTATTGGCTTTCAGCGATTTAATTGCTAAACGCACCTCGTCCTCAGTGATGTCAGAGGCCAGGAGCTCCTTCTGTGTGTCAGATATTGCAAGCAATTGGATGTTTTGGAAAAATGACTCCGCCACGGCTGTGGGGAAAGGGGGTGGTTCTGCATACAGATGGGATAAGTGGTGTTGGAACTCCTTCAGTATCTATTGCGGGTTACTAGTCAGGACTGAGTCCGCCGTTCGCAGGGAGATAGAGCGTTTGGGCGGCTCACAGCAACGGAGACGTTTCGCCAGCATAGCACCTGGTTTGTTACTGTGGGCATAGAATTTTTGCCCTGCCCAGCGTAGTTGGTGTTCAGCTATATCGGTAAGGCATAGGTTGAGTTCCACCCTAGTTTTCTCCAGACTGGCTCTCAGTCTGGGCGTTGAAGAGGTTTTGCACTACTCAGTAAGGTGTTCCAACTCTGCCTCCAAGTCCAACCTACGAGCCTCCCGATCTCTCCGCCGTTGGCCGCCAATTGGCTTATGTGCCCGCGAAGCACTGCTTTATAGGCTTCCCAAAGCACAGTGGGTGAGGACACTGAGCCCACATTCTCCCTGAAGTAGGCGGACGAGAGGGAAGACAGGCGGTCCACTACATCCGGGTGGGAGAGAAGGGAGTCGTTCAAGGACCAGGGGGAGGAGGAGGAAGGCCTGGGGAGCAGTGAGCTGCAGGTCAGGACTGTGGGGTCGTGGTCCGACCAGGGTACCGAGGGGATCTTGACTGATATGAGATGTGGTAGGTGTGACGAACTAGGAGCGCAGAGAGAATACACAGAGGCAAATCACACGGAACCCGGCGTGCGGGGTGTTTATTGGGGAATTCAGGTGTACAAAGCAAGGTACAAAGGCCGGGGTTAGGTCCTGGGGGGTTGCAGGCCACGGGGAGGGTCCACCCAGAAGGTAGGCAACGGGCCAAGGAAGGAGTAGATCCAGAGTCACAAGGCTAGTAGTCCAAGGGTCAGAGGTGCAGCAAGAGGTAATCCAACAGGTAACAAGGCACCGTGTGAGTACATCCAGTACGGGTAAAACAACAGATCCCAGCAGTCCTCACAGCAGCAGTGGAGCAGAACAGGAAGGGTTAAGTCCGTATCCCTTGAATCCACAGACAGAGACCGGTCTCAGCGCAGCCTCTAGTCAACCATTCAGCGAGGAAGAGAGCATGCAGCCTTCCCACAAACACTTACAAAGGTCCCGGGAGGGGCCGGCCTGAGAGGGGAGGGAAGGGGCAGTACACAGGCTGTTGCTGAGCAACTAACCCCCTCCCCTCATGTGTCCTTTGTTCTGGGGAGGATTGAATGGAGGGAAACAGCAGACATGTCCTGGCTTGTCTCGGTGCCCAGTGTGTAGGCCCTCTGCTGTTTTGATTTGCAGACTTCTGCCTTTGAAAGTCAACAGGAGGTGGGGAGGA